TGGGCAGGCTTTTGGAAAAAATACTTTTTCTTCGGTATCGGAGACTCCAAATTGTGCTTATTTGCAAATCATCTATATATCGATTTTTTGCACCATTACATAACTTCCTCTTTACTTCATATACGAAGAATTAAAAATTTTAAAATTTAAATTTTACACGTGCGTGAAATAGACCTTCCGACACACATCGCTTATAATTTACATGACACTGCCTACATACTAATTGGGCAAATTTCGTCAATTACTCACTGAGACACTCACGAAGTATTTATTTCCACAATACAAAAATACACTACAATTCCTCTAGTACATGGCCATTGTATGCAGACTAGACGGCGGGATATTGGCCTGGAAATAAATAAAAATAGTATCTTAGTACGCCAAAGTTTGGCCTACGAATTTTTTTTTATTTCGTGACCAGGAGTCCATTATCTGTTGTATCCATTGTCTTATTTTGGCCTGTATTTTTCTCAGATTACTAAGTGCTGAGTTTTCCCTGTCTTATTGTACATATTTTCAGGATGCGTAATAATTATAATCATGTCTGTTGTCTCTTAGTTCCTAACAGCAACATGACGGTTTTAATGACTGGTATACATATCGAATTCTTCTTTTGAAGGTCTTCCAAAGTTCTTTTTTTTTTCTTTTCCGAGATGTTGGAATTAAATTCGTTGAAATTGAAGTAAATTTCTTTCATATTAAGTGAAAATACCTATAGGCTCTTTCAGGTTTGTAGTTTCTCATAATTAATTAGCGAGTAATGACAACAGCGAGTGAATTTCACCAAAGAGTAATTGTAGGATTCTTTTGCATTGAAACGTTGCAAGTGGGATCGGTTCGATTTTACGTCTGATAGAAACCATATGAAGAATTTTCGTTGTGAGAAGTTTTTTCTAGACCGGAAGAAACTGACCGCTAACTTTCTTAAAAGATCGAAACCTGTAAAACACCAGCAGATATTTTTTCCTAAATTAGACGATGATTAAAACACTATGCAATCAGCATTATGTTAAATCTCGCACTGTACGACTATTTAGAAAAAAAAGACTTTAATTATAAAAATACTTCGCAATTTTTATTCATTGTCTTTACAAAATTCTTCATTAAGCCAAGCTTTGTATATAGAGGAGGTAAAATACCGTCAGTTCCACTTTTATTTTGAGCCAGAGAGGAGGTATGTCTTCGCTATGAGGTATTAGTTTCATTACAGAACTCACCGTAGGGTACTCGATATTATGCTTCAATTTCTTCGAAAATACTATTAATCAGTCATGCAAAAGTAGCAATCGTTGTAGCGTCGTCATACACCCGGGCGAATGAACTGCGGGAAGTCAGCTTGTTGCGGCAAATTTACAGGGCCGCATGCCACAGCCGAATGTACTAGTACTGATACTAAATGTTCACTATTCAGAAAGAGAGTCATTGGTCCTTTAGTCACGATTGTGAAATTTATTAAAAAATCCTCTCTAGCAAACCAATCCCATCTCTCAACAGAAAGCCGCACAACACGCGTCGTCCCATGTTCCACGTTCATTAACCCCTCCCAGAACTCCTTCTGTAGCCTATTCTCACCCTTCCTCTTCGATTACTGATCACAGTGCTACAAAAGCCACATCTCCTCCGTCGTAGAATGCCACATCCATCATTGTCAAACTACTGTATTTGTCTTACGCGGCTGCTGAGACCAAGCGTCAATATTTAAAAAAAAAAATGTTCTCGCACCCGACCAGAGAAAACCTCAAACACAGGTGAACGTGGCAGAATCTTCGGAATTGTGTACGTTGAGTCAGCGAGGTTAGAAAATGATAGTGATACATGGTTTCAAGTTTTCTTCCACAAACTTTTAGGTACTGGTTTTCAACGTTCCCAGTGCTCCAAAAAGGAAATGCAAATATTCCTTGAAAACAAAAAGAAGTGGATCAATATTGTAATTGATGAATATAATGCTAAGCAGACCACGGCAAACATAGAAATCAAACCTAAGAGGAAAAGTGAACTGGAAGTAGTCAGGATGTGTCGTTTTGGGGAGGGAGATAAGTGGGAAATTTGACCGCGGGATGCAGACGGAATACGACCGGTTGGTCACCAACGACGCCTTTCGCACCGCTTCACGCATTGCGCCGTCCGGATCGAAGAACCACATCCGATCTGCGCGCAAAACCGAAGTAAAATGGCGGACCGAGTTTTCGCATTAGGCGCTTTGAATTTAAATTGCGTCTTTTTATTTTTGAGTGTTCTTTACAGGAAGCTCCTAGGATAATTTTCAAAATTTTCTCAGAATTGGCTTTCTCTTTTTTAAATTTTTTTTTCTTCAAAAGAGCGATTTTCCGGTTGCTTCCGTTGTTCGGTTCGGTTATCTGGTTCTAATTTTCCAATATTGTTTATGAATTGGATTGATAACATTTTTGTTACTATGCCATTGATTTCTTTGCTGATGTTAGGAATATTTGCTATATTTGCCAGAAATATTGGCGGGAGTTAGATTCATTATGACACACGAGGATTCATTAATGCGAATTTCTTTTGTTCGAATCTATTTCATTCTTTAGCATGGGGGTTCCTAACTTGTCGGTATCTACCCCGGGGGGGGGGGGGCTGAAATTTTAAAGCGGGTCAATGGTGGGTTAAGTTGTCGATTGAGTCGTTAGCCGAATTTGTACGGGCGGATGATCGGTATAAACAAGATTCTATTGACTTCAAACATTTCTGTCAATATCTCTCATGACATAACATTCGTTATGCGGTGTGTAATTGTGCTGAAAAATAAATTACTTTTTAAGCTGAAATTTTCATTTGCTGAATTTGTCCAGTGAAATCTGTGAGAGATCCTGAATTCATACTGTTTTCTGCCAACATACTCACACTCTCATCGTTCAGCTATCTTTCTACCTTAGCTTTTTCTGCCACAAGAATCGATGTGAAATGTGATTCTCCGAGCATGTTACTTTACCAAACCGTTGTACGTGATGTTAGTCATCACCACCAGTTCCCTGGCAACAGTATAAAAGCATTCACTACTTCCAGTGTGGTCGATAATAAATGACTCCCCGTCTCTGTTTAACGGCAGCGCAATTTGGATTATATCCAAATCTTCCCTCGCTTCGAAATTTGTGAAAATTGCCACCGAGAGTACCTTTCGAAAATTAGTCGCTGAATAAGGTAAAAAAATAAACATTTCTGATACTGTACATAAAATATCTTTCAATCTTTGTATTATATAAAATTGTTTTATGCAAACTATGATTTCCTGTCCACACAAAATGTAGTCACTTCTGACTAACAAAAGTCATATTTATTTTGTCTTAATTGCACTGAATTATTTATAATCCGACAATTCCACGTTAATAAAAAATGATTTATGCTTTTAGCATACCAATGCGAGCACTTACTTGTAGAAAACTAACCCCTCCATTCCCTCACATGAATTCGAGATATTGAACGCTCCGAAACTTGCTAGGAAGTGAAGATACCCAGAAAAGCTGGACCTTCAAAATTAAATTATAGATCTCAAAAAATAATAATTTTTTTAAAAATTTCGGTAGAATAGTCTGCGCGGCGTGAGGGACAAAGATAGGGACAGTCTGCGCGGCGTGAGGGACAAACTTAGGGATTCGAAATCCAAATTTTGAGACCCTTACAGCAACACTGCGTTTTAGTTATGCTCGATTGATGTTCAGAAAGAGACCGTTGTGCGGACCGTGTTTTGCGGGGTTGTATTTGGACATGCTTAATGTAGACGTTTTTCACACATGTGAATATTTGTGTGAAAGTGAAAATCATCACTTGTGTGTGAAATTCTCTTTCGTTTGACACATGTTTCAAGGCTTATGTTTTGCGACTCTCACACCCAGTATCTATTCTAGATATATAATGTAGGTTGGGATGCTTGTGGCTAATGCAAATAATATATCTGTGGCGATAAGGAAAAAGGGAATAACTGCAATTTTCATAATTTCGAGAAAAAGGCATTTAAAGTCATAAATTCTAATTTTGCAGATTTAAGTAAGTTCACCGTAGGTTTTTTTCTCGACACTTTCGTATAAACAAAACATAGTTTCAGGACTTCAAATAAACATTTTATAATAATAATCAATGTAATTAAATGTTAATTTTTCACTTATTCCCTTTTTCCTAAATATTTGCAACTATTCCTTTTTCCATTAATGTTTATTTATCATTCATTTCCTTTATTTTTATCTTTATTTTAATTTTATGGAGTGAATACACACACACACACTATATATATATATATATATATATTATATATATAGATATATATATATATATATATTATCCGAAGTCATATAATAAATAGCATACCTATTCTTGTTGTAGTATTTGACTGGTAGTCCGAAATAAGAACTTATTGGGATCTAATAAAATTGACTATGTTAAACCTTTTTCAGTTTGATTAAATGAAATGTTTAAAAAACATTTTCACTTTTTCTGAAAATAAATATAAAACTTATTAACACAATTCGTAATTTAATAATTATTCTAATATAAAAATAAGATAATAACAATAATATATAATAAATAAATTATAATAAATTAATATATTAATATGAATTAACTATTACGTTCGTTTAAGGGCCGGGAGCGCCCATCCTCGTTCAGAGATGTGGGCCTCCATAAAGCACGAAAAATACTCTTCAATTTGAAAAATAAACAGAGTACTCCGATTTATTTTTCAAATCGGAGCAGTTTATTTCGAGATTTAATGGAGCAAATTTATTGCTTAATTTCGGTTTAAATTCACTAAAAAATGATTAAAAGTGTTATAATATTTAGAATAATTAATAAAATTAAACAGAATTAATGTTTGGATTTTACTTAAATTTTTATTAATTTGTTTTACTTCATTTTCCCTTGACGTTTCTGGATACATGTTAATAGAATTTTGCTGTGAGAGCAAAGATTAATTTGTCTCTTCAAGATAAAAATATTCTCGTCTAAACCACTTAAAACATTTATTGATTGAAAAAATGCTATTTTTTTAGGTTAAATGGCCGTCAGATGATGTAATTGACACATTTCACATGACGCAATTCTCAAGGGATAGTTATTGTATAAGTGCTTTTGTTTCTGTTGCTGCTGCTGTCGGCGACAAATTATCTTCCTCAAGGAAGTAAGAATCTCTACAGATTTATGGAAGAATGAATTCCTGAAAAATATCAGAACACACACAGTATATATATATATATATATATATATATATATATACCGTGTGTGTATATATAATGAAGTGTAATTCGTATCCAAACAATAGTCCTTGTTGCAAAGTGCTGGATTGCAATCACCATATTTTCATCTAGTTTTTTTCTGTAAATTATATTACAGACAGTTGTCTCAATGGAGAGCTAATACACGAACTCGAGTGCCCACCGAAATAAAAGCCAGAACCATGTGCGCAGGAGGTGAACATATCCGACACGGACACAACGCATAAAAGAATATAATTTGAATATAGTTTTTTATTAATAATATTTATAATATTTTAGTATTTTTAATAACTTTAAATGAATAGCTTATGTTTTTTATATTAGTGCTCTGAATTTTTGAAATTACATTCCTGTTATTCGATGGACCTGCAATCCCCAGTTTGTTCGAGCACCAGACGCCATTTCATTTGAAACTCCAAGCTGCGAATGAACTACTTTCTTCAGCGTATTTTGACCAGGAAGTATTGAGATGCTGCGCAGAACTCCCCAGCGTTACGGACGAACGCGGCCGCCATGTCCCTTGCGCACACGGACGTAATCTCGTTGAGTGTCGGCCGCCCGCACATCCTAGCCGTCAGCGCCCGCTGCCGCGTCTGCCGCGGCCGCGCTTCATCCTCCCCCGACTTGCCCGCCTCGCGCGCGCCTCGCCGCCTCCGCTCCTGCCCTGACCTCAGCCCAGCGGTCGGAGACATTTCGGTGGCTTCTGGCGATGCCGGCTGAAGGAACCGCCACTGCCGCCATCTCTCGTCGACGTTTGAGCTTCACCTAATATCTACCGGTCTCATTAATTGTGACTCGCGAGCGTGAAACGTGACTCGGGTGGCGGAAACATGACTTCACTGAACGAAGAGAAATTGCGGTTTTGCAGCGACGCCGGAATGCGACTGTAGATACACAGCAACCTCTGGCACACCTTTGAACTTTGAATTGAAGAAAAAAATCGATAATGTATCTGCATATATTAATGAGTTTAACATTGTGATTTCAATTACACACTTTACGATATTCATGTTTTATTACTTCACAAATACGATTAATACTTGAAATGCATTCATTAATTTTTGGGACATCAATAAGGCACATTTAATGTATTTGTTTCCATTTGCATACTAATTTTATCATTACATTTACAAATTGTTATATCGTATAAAAAATTGACATATTTATAGGAAAAATGGGGGAAAATGGTCATGTTTTTTTTTTCATTTAATAAAACTCTTGCTTGATATTGATGTTGGGAGGTAGTAGTGATTCTTTCAGTTTGACTTTTGCTATGAAAAGAAGTATTTGGTAACAGTGTTTCTTATATTTTTTGCTTCAGTAAGCGTATTTATTTCTTAAAATTTGTTTAAATTTTTTCATATTAAGATCATGGGAAAGTCGAATATAGTTTAGTCATATCGAAAAAAATATATTTCAAATTTAACATTAAAAATACTTTTAAGAATTGGTCATATTCGGCACGACAACACTTAATTGGGGAACTTTTCCCCCTTCCAGATGTACAGTACATTATCTAAAAAATAAAAACAAGTTTAATTATTTTATTATACATTTAACATTCCTATAGAGAGAAATTGAGTAAATATAAGAAGAGAGGCAGAAAGACACCTTAGGTAAGAATGTCAGTTATACAACACGATACAGGAGACACGAAAGGAATAAAATGACAACGGATGAAGTAGCTAAAAATGGCAAAATTTTAATCTAAAGGCAGTGAAGTGAATATGCAATCTATAAAACGTGCACAGAATTCACTTCTCCCTGTGGCACGTCACACACAGTTTTTTAACTGTTTTTGACGTTAAATAAATAAGAAACAGTGTTTGTTCGTAGCTTAACATCCCAGTCCCTTGCAGAGCTGCTTCTCGGTCTGGAGGCGTTGGCCCAGGTCCCGCTCGCGTCAGCCAATGTCGACCGCTACCTGTCACTCGCAGCCGCGCACTCCCGTAGCGACCGTCGCCGCCGCCGCCGCCGCCGCCGCCGCCGCCGTCGCCGCCGCCGCCGCCGCCGCCCGGCTGAAGGACGGCGATGGGGCCACCTTCTTGCCCCGTCCCGATCCACCCTGTCCTCCCCATCTCCACGGGACCACGCCCCTTCACCTCGAGGCCGTCGTCACCTCCTTCGCGCTTCGATCGCAAGTAGTCTCAGGTGACCCCTTCAGCCCGCCTCCCACATCCCATCTCCCCCACCCCTTTTGCACCCCACTTCCCCTTCCTCTCTCCGCACCTCCACTTCCCCCTCTGTCTCCCTCTCCTGGTTTACCACTTTCTCTCCTCTTCCCCCTCCTTCCCCGCCTCCTTTCCCATCCTCCTTCTCACCCCCCATTCCCCTTTCATTTCCCACCTCCTTTCCCTTCCTCTTTTCCTCTCTTCCGTCCCACTTCCTTTTCCCACTTTTCCATCCCCCTCATCCTTTCCCCGTCCTCCTTCCCCACGACGAGGTCGCCTTCCACCGCCCTCGGGCCTCTACTGCATCAGGGAGGCCCATTTCAACTGAAGATCGAATATGCGGGGCAAAATAGTCAGACTCTAGCAGATGCATAGGCTGTTGTAGTAGCGGCCCGCAAAAATCTAAAGTTTCATATCGGAAGGTTTTCTCGTTCGAGTCCCAGGCCGCTTGTCTAGACGAGAAGTCTAGAGGTCGGGTATTCTGCTCGGTCGTTTCCATGGTTCCCTCCGAGGTTTCACTCGAGACGGATGCCGAAGCAGTTCCTTACAAATGGTCCACATACCATTTTAGTAGTTTTTTGGCCCTGTAAACGTATGGTCTGTAATATCGGTAAGGCGAGTTTACAATTCATGTTGAGTGCTTACGTCAACTAGTAAAGAAAGCATTTGCCTAAAACTCAGACTTCTAGCCATTACAGTTTGTTTCAGAAAAAAATCATCGCAAACTTGCTGTTCATATGGTCTTTTCCTTCAATAACAGTTTTAAATAACTGCATGCTTGAGGATCGTTGAAGCAAAATGTGAGCTTATTTTTGAAAACAAACCCCTATCATCGAGGATACAACATAACGACAACATAAAAAATAAACAAGGCAGTTATTGTGTATATCCATCAACACTTTATATTTCGTTCTTTATACCTTGAAAATCCGTAGTGATAGGTTCGTCAGTTTCTTGTTATTGGTTTATTCGTGATTTTTCATTGGCGGCATTCCCAAAAAAGAATTAAGAAGCTTTGTCTTTGCTCTGTCGGTGAAAAAAAAAGGAATATTCTATTTCGTTTGATTAAATGGTAAAATTAATAAATTAATTATTTCATTATTTTACGAAAACAATGCTTAAGAAAAATTAATGTAAAAACTTTATAATTTAATAACATTTTAAATGTATGGGTTTTAATTTAATTGCTTGATAAGCATATTACTTCATAAAAATTGTAAGAAGCAATCTGTATATTATATTCTCATTTTATATCGGGAATTGATGGCAATTGTTATTGGAAATATCGATAATTGAGTTTCGATTATATGAACGTATAGATATTTCGTTCTGTTGTTTTCAAAACGCAATGTATGTGGCAACGTCGCTGTCCACAACCACGTGTAGGACGGTCTCCGCTGGCTGCTGTTTCGTAACGGGGATGGGGCGATGGCGCCACGGCGCCGTCAGTTCCCTCCCATGCGCATCCCCTTCACTTCCACCCCCATCACGGCGTGCATCTCAGGTAGCAGGGCCGCGCCTCCTACGCCACCCCGACCCCGTCAGCCCCCACGGGCGAGCTCTGCCTCCCTGCCCCACCCCCTCGTCCACCCCCTGCTCCACCCCCTGCTCCAACAGGCTCTGTGTCAACGTCATCCTCATCAAGGCCCGCGCTGCCGCCCTCCCTCTCGAACCGCCAGCGCCCTTGTGCAAACTCCTCTCCGCCCACCACTGGCCAGCGGGCCGAAGCTCGAGGCCCGCCTGCGGTACGGTGCGGTCCCAGCAGGTCTGGTTGCGGCGACGGTGCTTGCTTATTTCATTCGTGATGAAAACGCTTAGAGCGTTTACAAGAAAACTTGTAGGAATTCGCATTTCTATTCACTACGAAGGCAATCTTACTTTGTCCTATTTGGAATAGGAAGTTATATAAAGTTGAAAAAATCAATCTCAAGATTTTGACTGAAATAGGCGGTTTGGTCGCCCTCGTTACCCAAGAAGCGATTGTTTCAGAA